AAGACTTTGTGATTCATTGTGGGAACTTTATGCAATTAATCCTCAGACCTCCAGTATGAGAGAGAAGACAAAGGATCCTCAGATGTCCTCTTGAAGGAAATTTATGGCCAACTTTCAAACAGCAGTGCTATTCCCTCTCCTTCTGACACACATATACTCGTGTTTCCATCACTTCAGAGGGCATTATATTGACTTACATTCATTTCCCGGAGACTTATCCTAACCACTATTTGCCTAACCAAGTCAAAATCCTACAATTTTATGATTTATCTTGGGGACTTTTGGGTGTGTTTTGTCCCCTAAAAGGAAGGAGAGTCCACACAGTTTGCCTATATACAGATTCATACACCCACAGAGCAGAGGTGGTCCTCTGACACAAAAAGGGAGAGACACTGGACAATCAATCAAACAGGGATCTAACTCTCTTTCCCACAAACATATCTGCATAGACACACACACACACACACACACACACACACACACACACACATTAGTACCTGCTGGGATTCTCCAATCAGGTTAAACGCGGGGTGTAAAAAGGCGGGAGATGATAGAATGACAGTGGAGATACTGAGCGTTACAGAACCTGAAGGAAGCTAAAGCCTAAAAACAAACACAACGGTATCATCCTCACAACAGCAAAGCGCTCTGACACTGACATGCTGCTATCTGCTAAAAAGGGGGGGGGGGGGGGGGGTATGACTTCAAATGACCTTGTTATCCCTGTTGAGATCAGACTAAGAATACCCTCCCTGTTAGCTTTCCCTGGTCAGGTTTCATGTGGGGAGAAACCAAATGCCGCAGCATTTCCTTCCAGTTCAGTTAAGAGGTGCTGGAGTGAGGAGGTTAATACAGCACTAGAAAAGAAGCATATGTTTGTTTCTCAACAAACCTTCCTTTCAAAAAAATAAAATTCAAGTCTTAAAGATCCTATCAGTAATGGATAGATTAGGTATACACAATGGGTGGTCACTTAAATAAAGTGGCCCAGCTTCAGACTCGAACTGCTGCAGGTCCTGGGTCTGGACCTGTGAAGAGTTTGACATGAGCAGCACCTGCGAAATGCAACAGATGACTGATTGATTTGGCCCAGAGGCTGCTGAGCTCAGTGGAATAATCCAGCCCTAGACAATTTCATTATACACCAACATTTGTGTTCTCTTTGTTGACATCGCTGCCACAGATGCAAGTGAATATATAAATGCTACTCTAGTTAATTCAGCTATAAGGCTGATGAAGTGGGCAATAGACGTAAATGTTTCAGTTAAAAGGCCAATTTGTTTTGTTTCACCTAAGCCGACCTGTCTCCCAGACATTATGTTTATATATTACCACTATTTGTTTTTCCCATTACTTTTTGAATGGGAACATCATTTCTGCTTTGATTATGTTCAAATGTTCAACATTTTTCATTGTGTAAATGTCTTTGATGACACATTTATGTCACAGGGAGATGCTCCAGGTGGGTGTACAAAGCGCAGGGCTTTGACACTAGAGACTGGAATTTCTCATCCTGATTTCAGCATGTGGTTAAGTTTAAACAACAAAGAACTTTGGTTAAGGTTAGGGAAAGATCGAGGTTTGGGTCAAATGCTACTACAATAAACATGTTGTGTGTTTTGCTGTTGTTTTATAAAGTCTTTCACCGAGTTATTTCCATGACTTTAACCAAGTGCTGTGAGTGCTTAAACATAAACATATACATATGTTTTTACATGAACATATATACTGTATATACACTGTCCAAAATTATAAACGCAACACTTTTGTTTTTGCCCCCATTCATCATGAGCTGAACTCAAAGATCTAAGACTTTCTTTATGTACACAAAAGACCTGTTTCTCTCAAATATTGTTCACAAATCTGTCAAAATCTGTGTTAGTGAGCACTTCTCCTTTGTAATAATCCATCCACCTCACAGGTGTGGCATATCAAGATGCTGATCAGACAGTATGGGGATTGCACAGGTGTGCCCTAGGCTGGCCATAATAAAAGGCCTTAGGCTGGCCACAATAAAAGGCCTATCCAAAATGTGCAGTTCAGTGTGCAGTTTTCTTCATATATATATATATTTACAAATAAAAAGTGGGTTAACTAAGTATAATATATACTATATATATATGTTACACAGACCTATAGTAAACACTTTTTTATTGGATTTTACACTGAATAGAAACAGTTCTGCTTTACTGCATTGGGTGTCTGTGTATGCTTGTTTGTCAGCATGTATACATTTACATTTATTCATGCTTTTATCCAAAGCGACTTACAATTGCTATACATGTCAAAGGTCGCACTGAGTAACTAGGGGTTAAGTGTCTTGCTCAGGGACACAATGGTGGATGGGTCACAGTGGGGAATGGAACCCGGGTCTCTCACACCAAAGGCATGTATTTTATCCATTGCGCCATCACCACCCCATGAAGAGTCCGCCAACCCTTTAACCTTTAATGCAACCCGCACCCAGTTACCCACCATCGAGAACATCTATTACAAGTGCTGCCTGGGCAGGACAAGAAACGTCCTCGGTGATGCCTCCCACCCTAACCATGGACTTTTCACCCTCCTCCCAGGATCCTACACTGTCACACCAGCAGGCGCAGGGATCGCTTCTTTCCTGAGGCCTTCCTTCAATCTAATAGCACCTTTGCACTCATACTGCACTGCTCACAGTACTTTAACGTGCATGTTATTTGCACTATTTATATTTTTGCACAGACTGAACCCCTTCATGCTTTGGATGCAGACATCACCAGAGTTAACTGACTGAATTACCCACAACTCAGTGCAAATCGGATGTGATGCAGTTTTCCCAAATTCCAAATGAAAATACAAAAACAACTTAGCCTATTAGGATTTTTTTTTTTTACTGTAGAAAATTCTAATTTACAAACTCTAAGGCAATATGATTACAAAATGTCTAAAATGTGGAAGGAACAGATGCTACATAAGAGACATCAAACCTTTCCACAGAGACAGTACAATATGATATGTAAAAAATACATTCAGATAGATTAAGCAGTGTTGATACCTGCTGATCCGATTAATTTTTGTAGACATTTCATTGAAACTGGGTGGATTCCTTATATATTTAACCTTATGAATAAAGAATTTGGCTAAAATGAGCAAAACATTGAAAATGAGGTCCAATATTGTGTCTTCTAAAGAGACAATAATATTATTATGATTTAAATGGTTTTGCTACGTAACCATTCCATGAATTGTTTCCAGAACAACTGGGCTTGAGAGCATGACACAAAGAGAAGTTGTGTTGTTTCAGTATCACCTTCACAGAAAGCACATTCATTGCTGTCAAACCAAATCTTTCTAAAATAGGTCACTGGAAGAGCAGAAATCATGCATTACTTTGCAGTGAATTTCTTTTGTTTTTGGTGGAAGCGAGTGTCTGAAGAACTTCATTCTCAGTTTGAATACTGTTGGTTGGTCAGAAATATTCACAATATGGTTTTATTTTTTACAAGATTCCATTTATCAAAAGGTCTGGGGAGATGAGATGGGGACTGAGAATACAAACATTTAAATTAGCTAGGAAAGAGATTTAACTTCTTTCAGATTGCAATTAAATTCATATTTACAACAGAAATCACTGTAAGGGAACACATCCCCAATTGCATCTAACAATTTCATTACACACCAAATGTTCCTTCTACCCAGTTCCCATAAAACAGATTTTCTTTTGCAAAGTATATATCTCTTGATCCATTATGGTGTATCATGAGGTGTAAAATTATGATACAATGGTACAATCATTTCTAAAAACCTGTTGGTGGTATTTAGAAAGCTTAAGAGGCAATTTGGTGACATTGTCACAATGTTAAAAAAATCTAATAATACATAAATAATATTTTAACTGAACAAAGCCACCCTGTCCAATACAGTTTAGGGGGGCTGTGTATGGTTAAGGCTACTGACTTCTACAGTGGCTTTACAGAAAACAGCAAGACAGTGATGGATAGCTGACCACATACAGCTAACGAACAAACAAGCTGACATTATGTAAACACTAAATTGATTATCTGTAGTATAGATTGAAGGCTGTTAGATTTGCAGAGTTTGCCTTCATGCTGCAGTATTTAGCAGCTGAGGCTAGCATAGTTATTACTAATAACTCACCTGCTATTGGCTTGTACACAGAGCTCTTGAATTCACTCATATCACCCACCTACCAACACCTCTAAAGCTCACTGATTAACATCCATCCATCGTCAACCGCTTATCCTGCGTACAGGGTCGCGGGGGGCTGAAGCCAATCCCAGCTGACATCGTGGGAAAAGCGGGGTACACCCTGGACAGGTCGCCAGTCCATTGCAGGTGTTTAATCTGTACACAGAAATTTTAAATCAACAATTTATGTTTTTAGTTGGAGGTCATCACAGCCAAATGTGGCTACTTGCCCTGTAGCTGGAGATGCAGCATACCAGTGCTTTGTGGACAGATGTTTTTCGTCAAGAAATGGTATTGTAATTCGAAAGTACATACTATAGATAAGTACATTCCACTTACTTTTGTGAATTTCCACCTTTTTAATTTTTAGCTTCCCTTTAAGGAAAAGCACTGTGAAATATTTAATAATTAGTGTGCACAGATTACTAATTTGTGCCTTTGAATTAATCATTTGTGCACAAATGAACAGAACATTAGGGCACAGGCATTAAACATGTTGTATTTAATCCAAGCGGCTCATTTCGATGATATAGTCCATTTTTCTTCAGATTTTGCTGCTACAGACATTGTGTAATCCTTTAAACACATCCCTAAAACACATCTTAAAATATTAATCTATGATCATGAAATAAGTCATTTGTGCATGTTGTTTTATTTATTTCCTCCACAGGATGTTACAGGTACAGGTGCTATCAGACTCACACTAAGCTAAAATGTATTTACACACAGCTAAGTATGTACGTGTAGAGGATAAGACTGGTCAGCAAACTTGTGTGTCTTTTTAGGGTTTTACAAACAGGTCCAAAGCAACCATGTACCAAACAAGAGTTTAATATCAGTATTTTAATGTACATTTATTACACATTTTAAATAAATATTCCATCCTTAAAATTATTTTACACATCCTCAAATAAAAATATATTTTATATATGTATAAAAACAGACATTCAGGGGGCAACAAGAACACAAGAGGGTGAGGGGGAATGGGTGTGTCGAGGGGTTCCTTACACTTCAATGCATTTTGTACACATCAACATTACAGTCAGAACAGGAAACCTGTGATTATCAAATGTAGCTGCCACATTGTTCCATCAGATGCTGTTAAAGCTCTGTTAGCTTGAGCTGTGTGAGAAAGATACAGAATGATCCCAGTCAGGATGCAGCATCTAGCAAAAAGCTTAAACACTGCAGCGTTACCGCCACGTGTTTATGCAACGTTTACTGAACCCTGGCACTCTCCAACGCAGTGTGTGACAGTTTGTGTCTGTGAACGCAGCGTTCCCTGGCAGTGCGGTCACTCAGGGCCCTTCAAGTCTCCTTGAGCAGCAGGCGAGAGTCCAAAAAATGACTCCAGTGGTCAAAATGAAATAAAATAAAACAACACAACGCACTCTACTAAGATGTCCCCGATAAGTCAGACAATGAGTTATGTGCATCTAAAGACAAACTTCTCTTTTTGTTTTGTTTTTTACACAGGTCAGTACTAAGTCTGGTGTACAAAAATAGATTTCTCATTTTTTTGTCTATGTACAGCTTTTTTTTTACTTCGAGAAAAATAGAAAAGAAACCACATATTAAGATATAGTAATGCTCAGTATAAAAACTTCTAGAGGTTGTTTTTGAAGAGCAGAGGAGTGTGTCGGCTGCTGGTAATTCAGTCAGTCTCTCAGTTTCTCCTCTTTCTCTTTCTGTCTTTTCTATCTCCCTCCCCCTCCTCAGTGCTCTGACGAGTATCGTGTACGTTTAGTCCTTTGACTGAAGGGGTAGTGGATGAAGTCGAAAGGGCCGTGGTGGCTTGGGTGGGAGGGCTGCTGCCCCTTCGGCAGCCTCTTCATGAAATGGACCTCGCGCTGGTGCTGGCGCGTCCGTGAGCCTTTCCGTGGCCTCCCGCGGCGGGTGAAGGCCATGTACCAGCCCTCATAGCGGGCGTTTCTCAGCGCAGTGTAGTTATTCTCCAGAACGATCTCGGTGAAGATACAGTCGCGGCCTTGTCCGTTTGTCTGTGGAAACACACACAGAAAAACAGTTAGTGGGGATGTTCAGGGAAGACTCCTCGATAAAGATTTACAGATGGGAAATATCAGATGTATAAAGGCTTCCCTGTGCAGCTTGTCCCCTGCACACACACACACACACACACACACACACACAGCCCTCCCCTCATACATGCAGCATATGCTACAGTCATTACAGATCAGAGAGAGGGGGATGACAGTAAGCGATGACTCTTCTCCCCCTTCAGAAAACATCCAGCAGCCCTTGTGGGTCAGTAGCTGCAGGACGGATCCTCCAGCCATAAAGCCTTAATCAGCCTCCAAGTGTCACTTTCACTCCTGGTTGAATCTCCTGTTGCATTTGTAGCTAAATTTACCTGAACAGGTCTGCTTGAGTTGAATAACAATCTATAGAATACATCTCTTAAATACATCTCAGCAGTCCTCTGCTGTCCTGTTAGTTCAGGTTGTTGACTTTGGACACCTCAGGGATGAGACCCGTGAATAAAAAGATGGGTGAAGTACGGCCTCTGGTTGGTGATATCACAAAACAGTATACAATTTCTATCAGTAAGAAAATGTCAGGTCAGCTTAAACAGCATTAGCTGGACTTGGACACACCGGGCTTGCTTACAGTAACAAGCTCCCACCTTTTTGGACAAAATAGTAATAGTTAAAAATAGTCCTGATACACCCATGTGCACACAAAAGACACACTCGCTGTTCATTCTTTCTCTCTTCGACACACACAATCACACTGGGGCCGGCGCAGGCTGTAACTGGGCTGTAACTGGGCTGGTAGCTCGGGGCAGATGGCGTACGAGGCAGGGTGCTGGGTGGGCGGAGGGGAGTGTGTGTGTGTGTATGTGTGCGGGGGGGTTGCAGAGAGGCTGGCAGCTCTGTTTATTAGCTGTCACAGTGAGAGAGGGGCACTGAGACAGCCTCAGCCTGAAACACACACCTACACACTCAGCAACGGATACACATCTGAGACACTGAACCCTAACCTGGAGCCTAATGTTGCTGAACTCCAGCTTAAAGGCTTCAAAACAACAAATCATGTCAGGCCAGCTTTCATGTACACGCTGATTATAGACGGAAGGAAAACACAAGAATTATGTAGCTGGTCATCTTCTTCAAGTCATGACAGCACCGAAAACACACACGCAAACCAACAATGTGTTGGTCAGTCTCAACACTTCCTGACTTCCCCACTGCTGTCTGTGGCTTTCAGCACCAAGCCTGTTGGTTCCTACTGCAGATGTTCACCTTTAAAAAACAGCTATATATTTTGTTTCATTTTTTTAACAAAGGTTCAGTAATTTCCTAAAACAGCTGCTCACTGTAGTATTTAATAAACGTTAACGAAACAGGAGGGAATACTGTTTGTTGGGGACTACTTTCAGCTGTGGATAATCCCAGCTAGTTTAAAAGCACGCTCATTTTCACTCCTCTGGCTGTGCTGCTACAACCACTGACATTTTGACATCAGCTACAATAAGCTGGCCAACCATCCCCCTGCTTCGGCTGGTTTAGATCAACTTTTCCGCTCACCTTGCCGATGAGCTTCCCCCTCTTGTTCATGCAGATGTAGAAGCCCGTCTCAGCTCCCTTGATGCGCACTCGGCTCCCAAATGTGTCCGTTTCCACAATGAGTTTAGCTAAAGAAATCAAAAAGAAAGAGTTTTGTTAGCCGGGTTGGTCAGAGTCTCATGTGATTAAACAAAATGTGTATTTTTTTGGAATCTGTCTGAAATATTCTTTCAACATTAAAACCTGAATGAATCAACGGTGTCTGTGCACACGCATGTGGGCATAGACATAAAAGCATTGACAACACAAGCAGATATTCCTGAGTTTTTCCAAGCACGAATACTCTCTCCCCTCACACACACACACACACACACACACACACACACACACACACTTTCATACACCAAAAGCTGTGGGACCATTCCTGGGATTTATGCAAGCTGAAATTCTTGCAAAATGATAAAACCACGTGTCTCTTAATTCTTTGAAAGCTAAAGAGGCGATCCTGGCAGGCCCATCAGATCTGCACTGACCTCACACATAAAGCTCCACATTGGGCTCTCTAGCCTGAGAACTACCAAAAAGAAAATGGACAGTTCACAGAGCATGACTTCATCATTGCATTGCTTATCAACAAGACAAAAAAACAAGGCAATGTCAGTGTCCTTATTAATTAACCTTTGCAGAATGAAAGGTAGTATATATCTTTGGGTCATTTCCAGTCCCTGCACTAATTTGAGACTCTCATAGATTGTGATCCAGAACATTAAAAACCAGAAGATGACCTTTTATGAATTCCATTTTAATCCACGTTGTCTGATAAAACTGGTTTCATGGCGTAGGCCACGGGGTTATGGAGGCCTCTGAGGATGGTCATGGCCTTTTCCACCAACACCTGAGCCCCAGTACAGACAGCAGCTGCAAACACACCGTTATTGTATGGAGTCCCTGTTCTGTATGGAATTCAGTTTACTCTAAAAACAGCAAGCACTTTAGGCCAGAGTGGCAGCAAAGCTCAAAGAGGCCTGTTTGGTTCTGAGGCTGGACGGAGTGGGGTTGAAGGTGGGGGTGGAGAGGGGAGAAGGAGCTATGCAGGAAATGTTCAGGAGGTTGAAGTAAGATGACTTCTAATGGCTCTTCCAGACGTGCAGGATCTCTGGAGGATCACCTCCAGCACCATCTACAGTCCACCAGACAGTTTCTCTGAGTTCTGAACCTCTTCCCCTCCAGCCGTACGGACAGAGATCATAAATGGTGCAAAGAATGATCACCTCCAACAGCCAGCTGGTTGGTTAAGGGTCAAAGGTTTCAAGAAAATGTTGATAATAATCACTTTTGTCTGGAAATGTCAGCATCTTGAAACAAGACAGAACTAGATAAACTAACTAAATAAAATGAAAGCATTGAAATGAAATATTTGTCTTTAAAGGTGAGATATTTTTGTTCATTTTTATATTTCAATTTTTTTGTGCTTTAAATGCTTCAGGCCCTGAGAAATGGCAGCCCCTGCTTCACTAGTGTGATGACATTTGGATATTGGCCTTGAGCCACGTTTGAGAATAATTTCAATCACAGGCAAAAAAGAAATTTAAGCCTGGAAAATAAATCGCAAAAATAAATACAATAATAAGAATACATTTTTAGAAATAAAAATTAAATAGTATACATTTGATGGCCAACTGGAATAGAATGTGACAAGGAGAAATTTTTCTATTTGCTAATTGCAAGGCCAAATATGATCAAACCGCTTTTTGTATTTACTGAACGGACACTGAAGTGAAATATGTCTTCAGGTGAGTGACGTATGAGAATAACATGAAATATTTCCAGATTACTCTATACACTGATGCAAAATTTTAAGAAAAAACGTACAATCTAAAAACCAACCCTCAGACTGATCCACCTTCCCCTAACATGTTAAGGGTCTGATGATGATTTTTGATCGTGGGTAGCACAGAAGGAGTTCGTGTCTTTAGTGATTTGCTGAGCTTCTCTTACCGTGCACGTCTCCGTCCTCGGCCATGGCGTTGATCTTCTTGTTGGGCAGGACCTGCACATGTTTTCCGCTGGTCCGGCTGTACAATTGGTAGACCCGGATCAATCTGCGGCTCACGCGGTCCGTCACTTTGCTCTGCTCGCTTACATGCTGCGTGAAATTAGGCGGGGACTGATTGGTTACCTGTCAGAAATTAGACGTCATCACAATAATCAGTATGTGTACATTTGTCTTTTAATTGATTGATTTATTTTTTTTACTGACATTAAACTGCGCAAAGGGAGAAAAAACATCAACCCGAATGTCTTTCTTCAGTTTACTGTAGGAATGATTTAAACACTTAGGCACAGAGGGAAAATATATCCTAACGCAACAACAGCTTGTTGTTGTTTTTTCCCGAGTGACAAGTGTAACAACTTCCAGTAGAGATGCTGCCAAATGAAATTAACAGCTTCCAAAAAAGACGCACGGTGTGATTACAGGTTGTGCGTACAGGAGAATGTGCTCCACAGCGCACAGCAAAAACACTTTATGAACGCAATAAATGCTCGACTTCTCCCTCTCCATTATGTGGATAAACAGAACGTCTACCTTAACTTTATACTAAGTCTGAAGTTTTATTTTCATTTCATTTCAATCTTTCTATCCGCCGCGCTCCGCTGTGATGGAATGACTGCTGCTGACGGAAACATTGGCCCTGGTTACTTTGAACCCCACGACATTTTTCACAAGACTCGCAAGCATTTCCCTCTGCCCCGATGCCCCGTCTGTGTCCGCGCGCCCTGTGCCAGGGCCGGTATGTTCATCTGCAACCTGCCAGCAAGCCGCGCGCCCCGCTGCCCGGCGCACCGTGGGAGCCATCCGATATTGTTGTATCACATAATGTTATGATGATCCCTCACCTTTCCTCCGCGCATCACAAGACTGAACCGCCATATGCTTTACAGATTTTTGAAGCTAATCCTTAGTTTTACGCGCCCAAAACGAAGAAAACGAACATCCTAAAACATTTATATGAAAAGAAATGAAAGCAGTGACATACCTGAGCATAGTAGCAGAATGCAAATAAGTGTAGAAACCTGCAAAAGAAGAAGAAGAACAACATGCATTAGGTTACTTCGGAGCTGCGTGGAGCAGCATTGCAACAGTGCGTAAAGAGTGGAAGTGAGGGAGAAAAGGCACTCACAGATAGCTGAGTTTGGATGGGATGGGTCGCATGTTGGATGGAGGTGAAACGTTCAGCTTATGTTGTTAGAAATCAAAGTCCAAAGATTTCCCCGAAATCCACAAAAATATCAGAGGTGCTGACAGAGAGGCTCATGCACGCACAGTGGACACATTCTTCATCAAATCAGTGTCCATCACAGGCGACCCTGCCCCGCTGACAAAGCGGAATAGAAGTGATGAGTGATAATTTGTCAGTAAAATGAAGTGTCTGTCATAAGGCCACACAAGGTCTAAGTGCACTTGCAGAAGCGGAGTTGTGCGTTGGAGTTTTGGGGAAAGCGCAGAAGAGTTTTGTTCTCCTATCTTTCACAAATAAGTTCGTCCGCGCTGTCAGACTGCTCCTCCTGGTTTGTAATCCCTGTGGTACTCTGCGGCCTTCAGGTGAGTGTGATCCAGCTGTAGAGGAGGCTCGGACGGGCTCGGGCTCCTCAGTGTTCTCGCAGTGGCTCGATGCTGCTGCTCCGCTCGGTTGTGGCAGGACTGCATGTAGGACGCTCCTTCTCTCCTCTCTCTGCTCCCATCCCACACCGCTCCCGTGTCAAGCGTCTCGCTCTGCGCTCACACACCCCCCCTGTTAAAATGGCAGGCTGATTCGCTAAGAACAAGCCCCCTTTTTCTGCCGAACAAAAGCGGACAGCCCCAGCCCTGCTCTCCCCTCCCTCCCCCCTTGATTTAAAACATCCCTTTACCTGAGGAGCGGTCTACATTCGGTAGGGGGGGCCGAGGAGGAGCCTGCGCTGCCCCGCGCGCACTGCCACGACAAGTTTCTCAAAACACAATATGACCGCTTCTCATCGTGATGATACACAGTTCTGAGTGCTGATCAGCTGTTGGTGATGAATGATGACCCAGCAGACCCTCCTGCTCATCCCTCCTCTCATGTTCATTAATACGCCGTGCTTTGGGGAGGCAGTCAGTGAAGCTGGACCGGCTCAGCTTTGTGTATTGACAGAGTAAAGTGTGAGACATTAAAAGGATTACAGGCGATTAGCGTTTTTACCCCCCCCCCCCCCCCCCCCTGATTGAGAGGAAGCAGACAGCAGTCCCATACAGCAGGGCAAGTATAAACATTCACGTCTCACAGCCTGGTCAATGACATTAAATCGGCCCATTTTGTTTTTGACATAAGACATGTGCCACATTAATTATCTGCAAACCGCACCCTTATCACAGAAGAGCCCCTGAAGACGACCATTACTAATGAGACTTTATTGATTGTTCTGGCCATTACTTAGACTGCTCAGTATCGACCACAACGACACAGAAACTCAGCAGTCTGATTAATAAACATCATTTAAGGTGTCATTAAATTAGCTGGAAAGGCTCGAAATGGCCCATTGACTATCAGTGGGCTCCGTTTATAGTGTAAATGTGGCCATTCTGCAGAATCAAGACCAGTACTCAAGGACCTGGAGGCAAGAGTTCAGGGTAACTTGAAAGGCTGCAGAATGAAAAGGCTATGAATGAATAATGTTCAATATTGGCTACGTATGTCTTAATAAGACATATTAGAGCCTCACCATACTCCAGCTGCTTAACTGATGTCTCAAACTGCCAACAAGCCTCGTTCCCATCAGAGAAGATGGTTTCACAGTCAGATTGTCATACAGGACTGTGCCACCAGTGGGCGCACCAGAGGAGATGATTAGGTGCAACCTGAGTCAGGTGCCCCCAGAGTCCTTGATAGCGTAATCTGAAAATATTGAAACATAAAATAAAGACATTGTGGAGCGCTGCTCTGTGTGTTTCAAGTACTGGAGTCACTTCACCTGCTATCTACAAGCTCAGCAGTTAGCTGGACACTCTGGAGGCAGTGATGGAGAAGAGGATGCTGTCCAAGTTGGTTAGTGTCAGCAGCACCCCCCTTCCCATCACACCCCACAAAATGCTGGTTGAGAAGAGGAGCGTCTTCAGCCAAAGACTTATACCTCCAAGATTTTCCTCTGAGCAGCTCAGGAGATCATTCCTGCTGTAACTCATCTACGCTGCGTCTCAGCGTGGATCTCAGTGGTATAGGAGGCTGCTGGGGTCATGACTGGACTTACTATTACATTCTCTGTAACTCATGGCAAAGTGCAATACATACAATTTTTAACTTATAACTTATCTTTTCATCCATTTTACACACCTTACAGCAATTCACACATGTATACATGCACGTGATTAAAAGGGCTTACGTTTCACTTTTATGTTAATACCCATGTTTGACATTTGTTGTTTTTGTTGCATTATTCTTTGTACAGTGTGGTTCAGTGGTTCACTGCTGTGACATGTGAATCCCACCCCCACGATAAATCTGTCTCTGTCTGCTCCACTGACAGGCTTCATATTGTCCACTGGTTTGTTTTTCTGTTTCCCCCTCTCCCATTAGCCTCTTGTGCTGTGTGGGTGTTGTTGTGACTGTGTGTTTTTGAGAGAGAGAGTGTGAGGATACAGGCTAAACATGTAAACCCCCATGGGATACATGAAGTGGGCCAGTGTGTGTAAGACGATGTGCAAAAGAGTGTTGGTGTTTAACTAAAAACTGCAATGAAAACTATTGGAGTGTGTGTGTGTGTGTGTGTGTGTGTGTTATGAGCGGCAGGTAGCTGCCACTATGTACCCTGGCTCAGGGCCTTACTGCCCTCCCCTTAACCCCAGGAGCCCTGCATCCATCAGCAGCCCTGCAGGGGGCAAACACCCTTCCCCCTCTGCCCCTACTCTCCCTCACTCTTCTCTGTTCCCCCACTCATGACCAGAGCTCCACCATTGTGGCGTTAAATATAGAAATTAAACAAAATTTTGACAACATTAATGCTAATAATACCTTTAAGCTACCAGTGTTTGCCTCACTTATGCTTTATGCTACCTAACATTTTTCAGTTTTAGATTGTTTGCAGCCATTGGTTTCCATCCATTTTAACATGAAAACAGTAAAAACAGATATGATCTTTAAATGTATGGATGGCCTATCTCAAGCCGGTTTCAAGTTTTTCAAGTCATTTTTATAGCAAAGCTACATTATGGTTGTGTGTTCATGCGATGCAAAGTGGAGACTGATTTGAATGGTCAGCGCTTCACTACATAATTCAATTCAATTCAATTTTTGTTATGCAGAAGTTTTTGAAGTTCGAAGTTTAGGAGTTATGTAATTGCACTTTTAGGATAGAGCAGGTCTGGACCGTACTCTTTGTAATATTACACAACCTTTACAACAATGTAAGTAACTAGCAATAACAGCAGACAGTGAGTGTGACAGAAGTTTCATCTCTGCAAAATGACCCACGTCATAGTGAAATGAGATGAAAATGCCAGCTGCAAGTTGAAAAGCATATTCAATTCAATTTTACAGATTTTGTTGAATTTTTTTGAAGATCTAAACATTACAGCAACTTTTGAGATTTCTGCCTCATCACAGTACAATCAAGGTGAATGGATTTAATTTGTGGTGCTTACATTATTGAAAATAGCATTGGAAAATTCAACAGCAACATCTAATGCTTTCTCTCCTTCTTTCCTCTCTTTCTACTCTAGATCTATAGGACAAAATTATTTTCATTGAAAATATTTCTTTAGTAGAAAGTAGTTCCAATAAAATTTGTTTTGAAGTGCTTTCCATATCCTGCTTTCCCCTTCTAAAGTGCAATTTATACTTCTGTGTCAAATCGACGGCGTAGGCTACGGGGCTATGCAGAGGCTACGCTGTAGCCTGACGTGCACCTCCTTCAAAATGTAACTACACGTGTCGAATCGATGCGGACCGTAAGTTCTGTGATTGGTCGGCTGGGTAGCCTCGCAATGTTTCTGAGCCAACGGAAGTACCCCGCGCTTTGAAGTAACACTACAAGCCAAAACGGCGGCTGTAACACAGTGAATCAATATATTTGACCGTCGCAACCCGAGCGCAATGACTCGTTTCGCTCTCAGAATGTGATCTATTCGGTCGGTAACATTTGAAAAGGCTACACCAGCCGCACGTTTACAATTTTACCCCCATTTATGTTAGCGGAGCGCTAAACTGGAAGTTAGCCTGCTTGGCCGGCAGAAGTCAACACAGTGGACGCTGTAGCGCTCCTGGTGACTAGCGTTTGGGGGTGTAATTGCAGAATGACAGACAGACCTACGCACAAGTAAAAATGCATGCTACGCACGTAAATCCTACGCAGGAGTATAAATGGGCCTTTACTTCCCTTTCTTCCTTGGTTCCGCCTCTCTCACACTCCATCATTCAGCTCTGCCTTTCGTGGCTTGTGCCGCCTCCCATCCTCCCTCTGAGTTGTTCATTTGACCTTAACCTTTACCAACCAGTGTAAAGGGAATAAGAGCACACACACAAAGAACATGACAATGGCACAAAGCACATCAAAAGAACAGACTGGGAGATACTGTATGAATGATTTGTGTATGTGTTTGTGTCCCATTAATAATACACAGCTACTGTGATTTCACTTTACCTGGTGAATTGTGTTCTGTTGTTCTGTCAGAAAAACAACCACCCAAACAATAGACAGAGCCGAGCCAAAAGTCTCAAGTATGTATATGGTCCTCCGCTCATTTTCTCAGGCCCCAGTCATTAGGTGTGTGTGCCTTCAACTATTAATCCATCTGGATGGAGAGAGAGAGCCTGGCATCTATGAACTTACAGACATTTCCAGTCTCAAATCCAGGGCATCTTTGATTGCCCTGCTGGGTTTGACCAAATATACCCTCCTTCAAGGAACACATGCTAGTAATACCCATTCCATATGACCACTTAAACCCGGCGCAGAGGCTTCAGCAGCAACCCCTGGTTGCCTCTGTTCTAGCGCCTGGATCTGTTCAACACTGAGTCTAATAGTGAAGCCCTGTTTGCATGAAATGATTCTGCAGGGCATCTTCATTGTCCTGTTCAGCTGTCTGAGGCTGTTTCTGTGCTGACCTGTAGTGAGTAGTAGAGGGATTAGGGTTGCAGGATATCACTTGTTTAATCAATTTTGATTGGTTTGTATACAACTAGACGTGAGAAAGCTTTGTGTAATGACTTTATGCTACTGGCTACTGGATTCCTGGAGATCTGCTGATACTGAGGCCTTTGTTTACGCATTGTGAGCCTTTAATCAGCAGAGGATGGAATAGAAGACAAAGCAGCTACTGCCACGACAAAGAAAACATAGAAATATATAAAATACAGGACAGGAAACAAGACGTTTAAATATTCAGATTTTAAAAAATGAGTATGTGAGATGAAAGTTTGGAAAGCTGCAGAGTGCAACAGGCCCAGTTCTCATCAAAGTGGTGGGAATACTGCTCCCCAGACAGTGCCAGTGTTTGTACAAATCCTCATTTCTTGATCAGGATGACGAAAACTTATTGAAGATAATAAAAACAGACTTATTCCACTGATGCTCCAGATAATAAAATTGGCTTAAAAAAAATTTGAAATTGTAACTTAGTTCTTGGGGAGGGGAGGTTGAGAACCACCACAGTGACTCTCTGACACATACACTCATCTAATTACACACACAGACCTACACACTGATCTCAAATGGAAAAAGTGTCTTTTGACACACACATACACACACACACACACA